ACACAGACAACCCCGTAACAATATGCGTTTTTTACTGCTGTTACACAGCACAAAACGCATAAAAAACGGATTTGAAAATTTTGTGTCGTGTAATGTTGCCAGTTATTTGCATTTTCTTTTTTGAAGAATGTTCTACTGGATTCGCACGAAACGAATATCCTACGGATGAGCTGTGCGGCGACAGCAGCGTGTAGGCAGCTTTCATGCTGGCAACTGTTGAAGATGAAGGCGCTTCTCAGGGAAGTTGACCTCGAAACTGCTTTCAAGGTAGGCCATTTTACTGTGTTTTCATGAATGTGTGTAAAACAGTAGAGTGTTACACGAGTAGTATCGACGCTGTCATTCCTTCGATTAAGAACTTCTCTAAGGTTCTTAAGGTTTGGACCAATTTTGATCAAAACATTCATCATGTGCTTTTCTTTTTGTTCCTTTCTGGCCTTTTTCAGAGGATTAGATTTGGCTACGTTTTATCTTTAACTAAATTTCCTGCTCAACTAGAAAAATTTAACCTTTTCGACTACCTTTGCTTAGGATTTTGGCGGCTCCTTAAAGGAATCGCACTAAGTTTAGAACTCCTCAACCTCTATGCACATCGCTCGATGTCTTCTGCCCGCAGCTTTCTGTTGATTCGTTCACTTTCAGCATTTCAAAATAACCATCAATGATTGTGCGATAACTGAGGAGATTGATGAAGAAGTTGAAACATTTGTTGCATATCCGCTTGCCAGTGCTGAGCTGGCGAATAATTACGAGCAGTGGAAAGTATTGTTGTGGTCGGAACTGAGCCACCACGATTGGATGCTTGGATTACTTTGGGCTGCAGTCACAGTCCCACTTGAGACAGTGAATACTGAAAAAATACTCTCATTCTTCAGCTCTGCAGGTACGTGGATTACCAAATACTTTTTGGATTTTTTTTTATCATTAGTTTTATATTGTTTTTGAAAAAAACAGATGTATTGGAAAACCATCGAGAATATCAATCGTTATACAGACTTCGATGTTACTAAAATATAGTGTCATGACAGGCGCAATGATATCAGGGTTTATGTGTTTTTAGATGAAAAAGCGGTAAGCGAAGCAATCCACGCCATTTGCGTTCGCAAGCGTAACGAATGTACTGGGCGAGATGATCGATTTGATGGTCCATCGTTATTGAGGATCGTGAAAGAGCCGGTTTCGTATGTACATTTTGATAAGTAAGAATTTCATTAATGCTGA